TTGCCACAGGTTAAAAAGTCGTGAAAATAACTTAATTTTTCATAAGATTTCAAGGAATTTAAAAAAAAAAATTGATTAAAATAATGAACTAGTTAAATATTGATTATCAACTGTTACACATCAAATTTTTAAAATTTTTAAATATTATAATTATTCAATAAAAACTAGTAAAGACATAAGTAACCCCTCCAAATATATACAAAATAACTTAAAAAGAAAACAAATTATTTGTAAAACTGTATCTATAAAATTGTATATTGATTCAAAGAAATTTCAACTATCAAAACTCAAGAAATACGTCTAAAAGTATTAACAAAATTTGATAAAAAATATTAACTGTTCGTTTCTTAATAACAAAATCAATATGTTTTTATTGCTTTTTTATTTATCTATCCTGTTGAAGTTTTAATCTCTTTTCTTTTATCTTAAGTTGCTTCAATTTTTTTATTTTTGCAGCCTGAACCTTTTCCTCTTTCTTTTTTAGATCATTTAACTTGGTTTGCATAGCTTCAGGAGAAGTTAGAACAAAATACTTTTTTTTAGTATTTCTATTGTTTTTTGACTTATTGACATAAAAATTTGGGTAAGAGAGAACATCATCATTGTCAATAGTACTTTTCAATGAACTTGTTTTAACAAGACTTTGGACTAGAAGAATCAACACTAGTACTTGGTATAGAGACAGAGTGAATAACAGTTTCTTTTGATAAAGGAATTGTTTCAGCAGATTCTCTTAATGAGAGATCAAAAGAAACATCACTAAAGTGCAAGACTGAACCCGTGGTACAACAATTTTGGGTGGTTTAAAGTTTAATTGAAGTCTCATCCACATTCCAAATTGAAGAAGGCATAACAGGAGTACCCAACTTATTAAAAACTTGTTGAAGTGCGAAAAAATATTTAGAAACTTTTTGGATTGACATGCATTGATGTCGAACATATGATGTTACTTCAAACCATAGTCTTATGTCGTTATTTAAATATCCACCACCATTTTTCTGATGGGGTATCACATTTAAACTTTATCTGGTATTCTTACTAAGCTGTTTCCCAAATCCAATACCGCGATTTGCTCTAGATGTGGCATAATCAACTTTTTTTTTCTAAATGATTTGGTAATTTTGGTGGAGGTCCAGGTCTAACTCCAATTAAGGAGTCGCCTCTAAGATATTTTCCAAGTGTTTTTGGAATTTTATATTGAATAGCTGCTGATCTTTGTGATAATGAACTGCTTTTAACTGCATTGATGGCATTTTGCATGTCAGCTTTTGACCATTGAAAACGTTTATTTTTTTTCATAATTTTATTATTACTAAAAGTATACTAAAACAAATTCGACAATTACAGAATATATATACATTAATTGAATTAAATAGAAGCATATTATATAAGCAAGTATTTGAATAACTAAATGAATCAATTAAATAAATTTCTTATTATTATACTTGTCTCAGCACAAAAAATAACTGAGTTTAAAATAAAAAATAAATACAATAAAATAAAAAATAAATATAATAAAAAATAAAAACAAATTAAGTAACAAAAAACAAGTAAACATTTGGGTAAATAATTAATTTAATGAATAATTGTAATGGCTACAAATTAGTACAATATTCGGCCAATAATTGGGCAATGTGAGTGTTGCTATACAAAGCCTTTCAAAATTCTAAAACTTTTTATTTTCAGTTCGAAAAAGTGTTTAAAAGATAAATATATGACTTAAATTATAAAATAATTGTTTCAAAATAACCTAAAAAATTTCATCATAAAAACTATTTTAAATATGTTTAAAAAATCCAAAACCGGCTGTTTTATACTCCAAAAAAAAAAATATTTTCAACATAACATAAATATTCTATTTATAAACTATAGCTAAAAGTATATATTGCATATTATTTATAGTACAAATAGCTAAAGAAAAAATCCAAATATTTAATCAACCTGTTTTAAAAATCTTTGAAAAGAGCCCTCAAAAAAGCGGCTCTTAATAGGACGTGGCCACTAATAAGTCAGTTTGCCCTATATAGTTTATTTTTTTAGAAAAACTAAACATTTGTCAAAAAAAAAAAATGGAGAGGGGGAGATTTGTGATGATTAAATTTATAAATAGATGTAAATAATTTATAAATACTCAGAGTGTTTTTTTTTTTTTTTTTTTGTAATTTTATTGCACAAAATCTTTTATATTTAAATTAATTTTTAATACTCATTTTACAAATTTATTTACAACATTACTTTTACAAGCAATTGTAACATTACATTAAAAAGAATACTCCTACCCAAAATAAACAACAAATAATCATCTACCTCCATTTCTAATATTCAACCTACTAATTATACAACCAATAATTATATTCCTATATAATAAACTTTCAAAATTTCCAAATAAAACCAAACTTTATTAAATCATAAAAGTTAAAAAAAGGCCATAACATAATGTTCATAATGGCGCCTTTTACGCAAATCCTTGAAAAATAATAATTTTCCAAAGATTTTTTACAACAGATAAATATTAAGAAATAATAGTTAAAATTTTGTAAATACCTTGTCATAGTTTTCAGCTCTGGATCATAGTTCTCTAGCAGATTGTAGAATCTCCATTTTTTATCTTGTTTAAGTCCAACCCAGATGGAAACCTTGGATCTTGCAGTGAATAGTTTGACATCAAATGAGTCTTCAGTTCAACCTCTTGTGTATTAGTAACTTGTCTGTGTGCCTTTTTTTCCTTTGTGCAAAAGCAAATTGCACAAGCTTGTGCACGGTTTTCATCATGTGATTTTGGAGGCATTATAATTAGCTCACAAATAGTGTTTGATTTTTTAGTTATATTTACTAGCCTAATAATATTTTATATATTTCAATAATTATTAAGATGTTGTAATTAAAAATATATATTTTTAAAATCACGTTATTAAATAATAGCTCATTTTTTACCATTTAGGGATTAAAATTCTCTGTTATTGAAACTCAGGCCGTTAGCAATATTTAAGGAAATGAATTTCTAAAAATATATAATAAAATAGAAGAATAAAATTTCAAGACTCCAGACAAGAAAAATAGTTTTTATCCTGTTTTTATAGCTTTTTTTATTATGGGTTTTTTTATATATATGCAATATATATATATATATATATGCAAAAGAAATACATAAAAAGGTGTTTTTTGTGGTGTTTTTATTGAGGTTTAGTTTCATCCAGGCACATGATTATAACTTTAGTTTCATCCAGGCACATGATTATAACTTTAGTTTCATCCAGGCACATGATTATAACTTTAGTTTCATCCAGGCACATGATTATAACTTTAGTTTCATCCAGGCACATGATTATAACTTTAGTTTCATTCAGGCACATGATTATAACTTTAGTTTCATCCAGGCACATGATTATAACTTTAGTTTCATCCAGGCACATGATTATAACTTTAGTTTCATCCAGGCACATGATTATAACTTTAGTTTCATCCAGGCACATGATTATAACTTTAGTTTTATCCAGGCACATGATTATAACTTTAGTTTCATCCAGGCACATGATTATAACTTTAGTTTCATCCAGGCACATGATTATAACTTTAGTTTCATCCAGGCACATGATTATAACTTTAGTTTCATCCAGGCACATGATTATAACTTTAGTTTCATCCAGGCACATGATTATAACTTTAGTTTCATCCAGGCACATGATTATAACTTTAGTTTCATCCAGGCACATGATTATAACTTTAGTTTCATCCAGGCACATGATTATAACTTTAGTTTCATCCAGGCACATGATTATAACTTTAGTTTCATCCAGGCACATGATTATAACTTTAGTTTCATCCAGGCACATGATTATAACTTTAGTTTCATCCAGGCACATGGTGATAAATAAAAATAAGAGCTATACAAATATTTTTATTTAGACATTAAAAAATATAAAAAAGATTTATTTGCTATTCTCTAAAGATAAAAAAAATTAGTTAAAACTTTTTTTATTTTTGTTTTATTAAAACAAATTGTTTGTAAATGCAATTAAGTAGGGTCATCCATAAAGTACGTCACCCTAATTTTGTTAATTATTAACCCCATTGTCACAAACAATCACATATATCTAAATCCCTCTCCCTACTAAGCTGTGATAGCAGTATTTATGTCAAAAATATTTTAAAACATTTAAATGTAAATACTTTTGCAACATTTTAAAAATTCAACCTAATGAAAATAAGGCAATAAACGTAAGAAATGTAAGTAAAAACTTCGACAAACCAAATATTTTCTTATTTAAAAGACTCAAATAGTTATTAATGAAGTTGTAATACTAATATAATTTTTTAAGTTGCTCTTGGTCTTGCGGAAAATTTATTTTAGATTTGATAATTTGCATAAATGTTATGAAAAATCACTCAGGAAGAGTTCCACCAGTTTTTTAAAGTTTCCATTGTTAATTATTTTTAATGAATGAGTTCTACACTTTTGCAAATCTTTTGTTATGTAACTCTAACTCTTAATAATAGATATAAAAAATCGTATAACGTGAGTGATGTAACCAGTTTATTTTCCTTAGCCAATCACCTCTGATAAATTTTTGTATATTTTTTAAATGGGTATAGAATTCTCAACATCTTGTAAAAGTTTCTATTACACACCATTTTACTGATTCACAGAAATTTGACCTAAAAGTTGAAGCAATTTTTTTACCTTGTTTTCGATTTAACATAAGTTTAGTGGCATTTTCATTAATAAATTTGCCTTTTTTGGCCAAATTTTTAGCTTATTTTATTCTTTAGACTAACAGTTTTCATACAAAATAGCAAAAAGTTTAATTTACAGCTTAACAGTTTTCATACAAAATAGCAAAAAGTTTAATTTACAGCTTAAATATTTGATAAAGTTGTTGCGCATGTAATGTAAGTTAAAAATGGAATTGTCCATATAATCCTCTATTAAATAATATAAATAAATCTTTTTTATCATTGAACACTTTTATATTTACAATTTTCTATTATTTTTTTTGTAGACGTTACGCTTTTTTGTTTGAACGGTGTATGCTGTTGTGCAAGAGCAAAGGGGATACATACGATGTTAAAGAATATTTTGACTTAAAATCATATAAACTTTCTGATACTCCTCCATTTGGAAGGGGAAAGGTAGTCCTCTATTTATAGATATTTTTTTCTATCCTTTGAAAACTTTTTAATCAGCCAAACTTGTTTAGTTTAGTAATGGTTGGTCTCTACAGAGTGTCTCCAATGATGGAAGTAAGTTTTTTTTTAATTTAGTTGTTTATAGTTAAATTTTTATTGTTAAATTAAATAGAGGAGTAATCAGACAATAATGGCTTCTTTTTTTTTTAAATCAGCAAATTAAAAAAGTAATTAAAATCTCTTGTGGCTTTCTAAAAAATTTTTAAAATTCCAGCTCATCGAAAATTCAAGAAGTTTTGAATAAAACTCCAGCTCATCGAAAGAAGTTTTGAAAACTCCAGCTTCTGATAGTAAAAAGTTTGAAATAAATTTCCAGCTTATGATTACAAGAGTTTTTGAATAAAAAACGAGCTCATTATCACTAGAAATTTTGAATAAAAATTCCACCTTATAATCACAATAAGTTGGAATAAATTTCCTGCTTATGATTACAAAAAGTTTTGAATACTTTATATAACATTTAAATTCAGTTAACAATAAATTTAGTGAATGAAGAATAAGTGTTAGAAAATTGATTTAACAAATGATTTTTGCTTATTTTATTTTTTCTGACAAGTTTACAAGTTTACCAAAATTTAAAACAAGTATCTGTAGTTATAAATTATTTAAAGAGTTTTTATGTTTATTTTCAAGTCTTCACAACTTTGAGATGACTAGAATATGTTTTAATAGCAATAATATATATATATATATATATATATATATATATATATATATATATATATATATATATATATATATATATATATATATATGTATATATATATATAAATATATATATATATATATAGATATTTATATATATATATATATATATATATATATATATATATATATATATATATATATGTATATATATATATATATGTATATATATATATATATTTTACATTATCTATTCCTTTTAAATATATATACACTTATTGTTTTTCTATATTGTTTCATTTCAGTTTTGGAAACTAAAAATTGTACTATCTTCGCAAAGACGCAACCTGAAAAACTACTGTGGGTAACAGAAATATCCAGATGCATGTATGATTTTTTTATAAATGTCTTTTACTATTATTAAATAGTTTAACAAGGAAAACAAGTTAAGAATGGCATTTAATGTACGTAGAATGTTTTTGTCAGCAACAGACTGGGTTTGAGCTGAAATAAAATTCCATTATGAAATAGGTTTTTGTGTTCCAAAATATATTTTTTATAGTACATACATTTTTTTTTTTTTTTTTTTTTTTTTTTTTTTTTTTTTTTTTTTTGTGTGTATATTTTGTTAAAATTTGACCTTGTTGTCTCATAAAATAATTTGTATTTTTGTTTTTGCAGAGAAGCTGTTACTTTATCAGAGTTGCAAGGAAAGTTAGGTAAAAGTTGATAAAAGTATAAAATAAAATTTTTTTTGGTTTGATTGTTGATGTTTGTATTATTTTTCAAGTCATAAATTTGAAGAGAAATTTCATATCTTTTTAGATAAACATACTTTTGAGTTGACCACATTTGAGACACCTCATGTCTGTTCAAAATGCTCCAAGCTACTTAGGTTGTTTTTAAATTTTTTATTGTTTAAAACTTCAATGTTATTTTGATAATTAAATTTGAATTTTTTTTTATTTTAATTTTTTTTTTTTTTCTAATTATTTATTCTTATCTTACTATTTATTTATGTTACTTTTATTTATTTATTTGTTAACCTTTGTATTATTAATTTATTATTAAATATTAAAATTTTTCTAATTATGCAGCCTATTTTAATTATGCAGCTCTTAAATAAAAATAGTTCAATAGTTTTAAATTATTTTGATCACTAGGGGTCAGATAAGCCAAGGATACAGATGTACAGCAGGTAGGATATTTTAACACAATTTTAAAAGTCAGTAATAAACACAAAAATTATAAAGAAGTACTTTATGATGTTTTACTTATCAAAATTGGTTTATGTCCAATAAGTCCAGACCTCTCTATATACTGTTTTGGTTAAGTCTAGACCTCTCTATATACTGTGTTGGTTATAGTGTTAGTGTGTTTTTTTTGTAAACTTTGTAAATAAGTTTCATGTTTGTTCTACACCATGTCTCTTATAGTACCATTACTATTTGTCTGAGCTGCTGTTTTGAATGTTAAAAGGGTTATTGCAACAATTTAAAAAACAAATTGTGGCCTCACCTCATCAAACTTGTGGAGGCAAATAGAGTAATAAGTATATAAACCCAAATCAATGTCTTGTCCATATTCAGTGTCCGTTCATTGTCCATATTCAATGTCCATTTAGTTGTGCATGAAATTTGTATTGATGTTTTAATGATATAACCATCTTCAGTTCATACATTGAGGTAAGTTTAGGGAAGTATAATCTAAATGAAAGACATATCAAATAAAAAATTATTCTTTTTTTTATTATTATCAATCTTATTGTTCTTTGTCTGAAAAACTGATTAAAGATTATATTAGGACAGTCTTGACCTAAATATGCAAAAGTAGTGTGTGTTTATACACATACATACATACATACATACATACATACATACATACATACATACATACATACATACATACATACATACATACATACATACATACATACATACATACATACATGCATACATACATACATACATACATACAAAACTTTAACCTCAACCAATATGTTAAAAAATTACTACATAATGTTTACTACTAAATTTTTTAAGCAATCATCATGTAAAAAAACATTTTTTTTTTTGTTAAAAAATTTTATATTCTTATTATTCAAAAGAAACATTAAATATTGACTAAATAATCATTGACCTAAATAGGGATAACATACAGGGAATGTACTTACATCTACTGAATTGAATAGGTAGAACATGCAGGGAGTTTACATATATTGACTAACTTAAATAGGGAGAATACTCAAGGAGTGCCGTTACAGCGACTGAGGGTTTTGAAACTATATTAATTTGCTTTTATTAAGATATACATTTGATTTATATATTTTTTTAATACAGACTTGACAATATAATGATTATTTTTTATATATATAATTGTAATTTTTATATAAACTTTGTACTGATTTTGAAATAATAATAGCAAAATAAATATGTATATATTTATAGGTTGTAATACAGTTATGCATAAAGAATGTTTGCTGAACTGTCCTGAATGTAAACCTCCTCCAAGTAAACCTATAACATCAAAGCCTTCCAGTATGTATTTTGTTGACATTAATTGATAAAAGGATAATAAATTAAGAAAAATTTTTATAGAATTTTGCGGTTTACTTTAAAAAAATTTTTGCAGTTTTTTGTTATTTTATTATATAAAATAAAATAATTAAAAAAATCAGTATTGGTGGATTTTTTAGCATAGGTTTTATTGATTTGCAAAGACTTTGCATTACCATACTGTGAGTTTTAAGTATAGATTGATTTTGAGGATTTAATTTTGTAAGTCTGCAATTAGCATTTATTCATTAATCTTTTTGTAATATTATTTGTGAGCAGAGTGTGCCCAAGGGTCCCACAAAATTGGGGCCCCACAAACTAAAAATAAAAAAAATTGATTTTTTATATTGACGACTATATTACTATATTATCTGATATATATATATCAGATAATATAGTAGTCATACTATATTTATATATCTATAATAAACTTATAGAATAAATTAAAATAACAAAAAAAAAAAAAAAAAAAATGAGAATAATTTTATGTTTAATTCTATACTATTAATTGCTATTTGGTAACTTTAAATAAAACTCCAGAGGGTACAACAAATGTTTTTAACGTCTAAAAAAATTTACTTTTAATATGTTTTTTAGAACACAAAATGATAATGCATAAAAGAAAAAAATAAATTATCTAATGATTAAATATTAATTAAAATAAATTGTTTTTTTCTTAAATTTGTTTAAAAACAAAAATCTGAATAAGTTAACTATAAATTTTTAGAAAAATATATAATTATTCTGAAAGAAAATGGAATTACTATTTTAAATGAGAAATAAGAACATTCTTTTTCTTTCAAAAAAACAATCATAATCAAAAAAACTTGCATACAGCAATTTTGATTTCCAAAAAAAAGCCAACAATTTAATCTAGGTAATGTTCTTGTACAGAGTTACTGAACCGACCTTACTAAACAAGAAATTCTGGATATAGAACTAATATATATCATTCAAAAAAAAAAAAAAAAATTAAAAAAAAAAAAAACTTTTTTTTTGCAACTTAAATTTTTCAGAATATGAATTTTAGGTTACGATAAAAAAAAAATTTAAATTTTTTCTTGCTATTCCATGTATATATATTCATATTAGTTAATTCCAGGGATAGTTAAGCATTTAAGTTAAGATTGTTATTTATTAGTTTAATCTCACATTCGGTCTCACATTCGGTCTCGCATTCGGTCTCACATTCGGTCTCACATTCGGTCTCACATTTGGTCTCACATTTGGTCTCAGACATTCGGTCTCAGATTTGTATAGGAACTAGTGATCTATTTTTTTTTTTTTTTTTTTGTAACAACATTAATTAAATTAACAACTATTAGTTGTAATAATTGAATAAATTTATATTATTTATTTTAATTATTAAAAATTATATGTAATAATTTGATACCTGACGAGCACTCACAGAGTAATCATTGTCAAGATTGCCAGCTTGTCCAACACAAATGTTGTGACTATATAATGAATATGTTTATTGCTTATTGGCAAGTAAAGCTACTTAATTAGAAAATAAAAAATTCCTTTACAATTCGAAATTTTTGAATAATGTTAATAAACACAGGATACCCACTGAGATTCAATTGCTTATAAACATCAGAAGTTGCTCATCAATATTAAACTCTAAAAGGGTGTTTGCAAATCTTTCTTAATAGCTCAGCTAGGCTTCAAGATTTAAACCAGTCACAGGTGCAGTAAAACACCCTTAAGCTCAGATGTTCAATGAAACATCCATAAAGCTAATGTGTGGGTAAAAAGTAAATCTGTTGCAGGTTGTGTCATTGAAATCTGGCCAAGTATATGTAAGTTGATTGAGTTTTAGGAAAAATACCATCTTTGAAGCAACCTAAATCAAATAGCTTTTTAAATGTTAAAAAAGCTTTAAACAAAAACTTATTTCTTTTTTAAATTTGAAGTTTTCAGTCTTGTTGCCAGCATATTAGAACCATTTTTTTTGGCTGACCAAACTGACAAGCCAATAATTTTATTCATTTACTTGGAGAGGCTGTTACTATTCATGTTGAACCTATTTGTGAAAAAAAAAGTTGTTGATATTATATAGTGTTGATATGATATAGTTTTGTTCTATACTGATCTAACTAAAAAAATGTTTTTTTTTTTTCTTTCATAAAAATATACTTGATTTTCTACTTAATGACTTTGTTTCATGTTTGAATTGTTTATCACTAAAAAAAAATCTTTAACGGATTGTTATCAATTGGTTAAAGAAAGGCATAGAATTTCTTATAAAATTATGATTAAAAATGTTAAGCATGGGTTGCTAACAGCTGTTGCTAACAGAACTGTTAACTTGAGGCATAAGCCTTGAACTTGAATTACAAATTTAAAGACTTAACTTTACATAATAAGTTTATACTTGGATATATTTTTTAACTCCACTTCAATTTTGATGCCAACAACTTAAAGCAGTTAGGTTAGTGCGCTTGTCTCATAAGCTAGAGATCTGTGGTTCAATACAACCTCTGGGCAAGTTTTATAACATTGGTAAGGAAGGAGGTGTGAACTTCAAAGGCTCTTCTGCTGTGCTTTGTGGTAAGACTGTAAGGACTTTTTGGGGCACCTAAAGTAAAAGTTATAAATGAAAAACTTGTTACTTGACTTGAAGTTCAAGTCAAGTAACAAGTTTTTTTTTTTCACTAGCCTTGTATTTAAGCTATTATATAATCATATAGAAAAGGAAATTTAGTAGACATTAGTAGACATCTGCTGAAATATAAAGCAAAGTTTGTTTACATTTATTTAACATATTGCACCAGAGGCATACTGCAGTGCAATTTAAACAATAGCAAAAAGACATTAAAATTTTTTTTTTTTTTCAATTGCTCCACATTGTCATCATTGACATTTAAGTCCAATGTCCTCATTGGACTTCAATTAGTCTGACAATCTTCTGAATTTAATCTTTTTCAAATGTAATGGATTTGTTTATATAAAAATAATGTATACATGTATATATATTTTTTAATTAAAATCTAGGTTTTCAATACAAGTTGTGCATGTTTAGTAGATTAGATTATCCAATTTTTTAAATATGGGATTTAATTTAAGAAATTCTTGATTACAAATACATAATAAGTTGTTTTCTAATTATTTAATTAAATTAAATCAGGAATAAATGAGAATCAGGGACTTTAGACTTGACTTGATTTCTGTTAGACTTGACTTGAGAATTGAATTGAATTTTGTTTTTGAAAAGTTTTGCTTGACTTGGAATTTGACTTTAGTAAAAAGACTTGACAGAGACTTATGCCTTGAAATTTTATATCCATCAAAAAATTTTATATCCATCAGCATTATCAGCAAAAATTATTCACTACCTAAACTCTAAAATTAAATACTTGAAAACACAAGAAAATTAGGAAATACTTAGGGAAAATTGATTACCAAAATTGCCATGAACCCTGAATTATAATATTAGCTATTGTTTTCTGTTACTGTTTATAATTATTTCTATAATTCTCTGTTAATCGATGTGTTATTAATATATAACTGATAAAAATTTTTGTTTTAGTCCATTTAAAACCACGTGATGAAGTAGATAGTCCAATGTAAGTTTTTCTGAATTTAAAAAGTAATAAAAAATTCATTTTTGTTACCCTATCAATATTGATTTTAATTTGTTTCAGTTCACCATCAGCTCAAATCAACTCACCAACTCAGAAAAGTCTCAAAAACTTTCCATGGTAGATTTTCCTTAAGTTTCAAGTTTTTAACTATTTTTTTTTATAAATAGTTTTTTTATAATTTTTTTTTTTAATTTTATAAGTACTCTTTTCACTTTATAGAAAATGATTTTCTAGAAAAAAATAAAAAAAGAAAGAAAGTATTTAAGAACAATTTTTTATGCACCAGTCAATATTAAAGAAATTGCTCTCACATATTTATTCAAGTATTTATATGTGTGTGTGTGTGTGTGTTTGTGTGTGTGTGTGTGTGTGTGTGTGTGTGTGTGTGTGTGTGTGTATATACATGTATGTATGTACTTAAGATTATTTGGTATTTAAATAGTCTGTTCATTGAAATTATCACTGCTTAGTTATTAAAAAAACACAAGTTTTTTATGCTTTTTAATGATTTTAATTTTGCAAGTAATCTAACCATATTTTAGTACATCATCTTCTATGATGATTAGGGGTGTCTAGATAAGTTATCTGGCCGGATATCAGTTTTATTTGATATCCGTTATCTGGCCGGATAATAACATTATCTGGTTTTCGATAAACCGGATATTTTAATTTTGTTAAATATCTGGGTATCCGATATCCAGCCGAATAATTAAAAAATGTTATCTGGGACACCCCTACACCCTGACACCCCTAGTAATGATCATTTTTATCTTGTTATCAATACTTTAATAAGAAATTTAAAAATGTTTTTTTATTAAGTGACATTTATTCCAAGCATCATTAATTCTGCATTTGTAAGAAAGAACAAAGTGTCTGCAAAATATTCGTTTTGCTTAATTTTTTACATTTTTTTACAATTTTTTACAGAATGTTAAATTATTATTTTCTGCAGATACTGTGAACTAAAAATACCTTCAACAGTGGTTATGTGATTCTCAATTACACAGTTCAAGAAAATGATAGTGAATGGTATTAGCAAAAAAGTGTCCTTTCTTATCAGGGCGGAATTGCCCTGACATATCTTGATTCCCAAATTCTTTTGGTTATTGTTTTCATTCTAAGGGCTGGGGTATGTTGATACACCCGAGCCTAATTCAGCTAAAAAGTTTGCAAGCATATCATACCAGCTTTTTCAAGACAAAGCAGTTCTAAAATTTGTTTTAAAAACAGTTTTCAAGATCATCAGCATTTTAATCAAACTTAATCATTTAAAAAATATTTTTTAGTTAATCAAACTTAATCATTTAAAAAAATATTTTTTAGTTAATCAAACTTAATCATTTAAAAAAATATTTTTTAGTTAATCAAACTTAATCATTTAAAAAATTTTTTTTTTTTTTAAATATTAGGTACTAAAAAACAAAAAATTATTTCTACAATATATCACATTTTCTACAAAAGAATACACACAAGAGATCACATTATTTATAAGTTTTTTGTTTTTTTATTTACTTCATATAATTTATTTAATATCCTTAAAATGAAATAAAAGAAAAATTCCACTTTTATTAATGGGATTAACATGTTGCTTGGTGATTTATAATATTTCTTTTATTTTTTCAATATTCATAAATCTTGAAAAACCTATCAACCTCTATCAATGTCTACTTTACTTTATCACAAACTTTTTAGATGGTACATTACATTAAACAAGAGATTTTTCTTGTAAAAACACACTATCTGGTGTTCAATTAATCTTACAATACGATTGCAAAAAATAACTGAGTGCTGAGCTTTTCCATTTTTCCATATTACTATTAATAAATAAAGTTTTATTTAGCAGTATTATGCCTACTTACTGCTAAATAAAGTTTTATTTAGCAGTAAGTAGGCATAAGACGTGTTTTAGATGTCTAAAATACGTTTTAAAACGTATTAATACATTTTTTAGAAATAATACTGGCCACTGGCCACTGGCTAAGGTAAAGCAATCATAAAAGTTTACAAAAAATAATTTTATTGTGTATTTTAAATTAACAAACAATGCCTAATACATAATATGCCCTTTCTTAGCAATGAAATACGGTTTTTAATAAATACGCCTCTTGAACATTTTGGATTTTTTGTGGCCATATGTTTTAAATTTTGTTATAAACTCATAGATGAGTTTTTTCCGGGGATTCCCGGAATTCCGGAAATTTTTTTAAAACTTTAATTTTCCAGAAATTTCCGGATGGTTTTTGTTAAATATTTTTGAAAGTTTAAGTTTGAAAAATATTATATAAAATTTTAAATACGACAACGTTTGCATTTAAACAAATATGTTTTTTATAATTGAAATTTTCACGATATCAATTTTCATAACAATTTTTTTATTTTTATTTTAATTCATTCAAATTTAATAATAATGATTGTTAACGATAGACACGGCAAGAATGTAAGCTATAGCCATCATTAAATTGCAACCCTGTGGGAAATGAGCTAGCGACTAGCGAGCGATTAGCTAGCTTTATAGCAATTTTTTTTTTCTAATTGTTTTTTTCCTAATGTCTTTAACATCTTTAAAAATTCGATTTTTAGTGTTGAGTCTATTATAATTATGAGAATAATTAAACTTTAAACTTTGCGATTTTGTAGCAATATGTCGCTATCTACATATCGTAGCTTTGTAGCTAGCTACAAAATATATACAAATCTATAGCCGGTTGATAGCTGCATATTAAAATTTTTTAAACAGCGATTTTATTACGATATGACGCTAGCTACAAAAGTCTGTGAGTCTTAAGCTTATTAAGCTAGCTGTCTTCGTAGCCAAATTGCTGTCTTTGTCTTTACAAAAATCGATGGCTTTTTGCTAACTTAAAAAAGCTGCCGATCCTCGTGACCAAATCGCTGTCTTTATCGTTACGATTACAGCTAGCTATTCGCTAGCCGATTTCCCACCGGGAAGTAACACCATTTGCAGTTTGATCGTTCCACTTTATTGGTGGATAAATGTTTTTAAGTGTAAAAAATATTTAGAACTTAGTAAATTTTTCAAGGCATTTTTAAGTATATTCAGTAGTCCTCACGTTGAGTAATCATTCAGCATGATGAACACCATAGTTAACAAAAAGATATTTATCTTTTTGTTAACTATGGTGTTATGGTGTTAAATATGTTAAATCGTCTTGATAGTTCAACGTACTCAGCTATAGCTTCAGTTAAGTATCAAACAAGACCACAGCTACTTTAAAAGACGAGATATAAAAAACATCTATGGTCATTTGCAAACTGCAAGCAAACGCTATTTTAAAAAAATTTAATTCCATTGGAAAAACAGAAAAGTTGAAGAACGTTTTTATAATATAAATTCAACGCGAAAAAAAAGATTGCCTCACATGACAATGCAAAACAGTTAAAGAATTTATTAATGATCATGCAACAAAGTGCAGAAAAAGAAAAGCTGATAAATGTTTTGCAGCATAAGGATAAAAAGTTTTAATTTCTGAACCATTGTCTGACATTTTATAATTAAAATTTTATATTTAAAAATTTATATTTTATATATAAAAAAATTATTTCACTATGCAGATTGTTTACGATAAAACTGAGATATTATATTTGATTCAGTAGTTTTTGTTTACTTTATTTATCCTATTACCAACGTTCCAGAATTTACCTCATACCTTCGTCAAATTGTTGACCGTATAAATTTCTGGAATTTTCTGGTTTTTATATTAAAACAATGTTCCGGGATTTTCATTAAAAATAATTTCCGGGATTCTCACAAAGTCAAAAACTCATCTATGTAAACTCTATTCACAGTCTTCTTACTTTAAAATATTATTCATCCGAAAAAATCAAAATCAAGTAAGTAAAGAAAGCATGCGTTCTAACATTATTGACAGTATAACATGAATTCTCAATCATTGTATGTAACTTGTTGACTTTGTTTAAATTTTTGTTTAGGTACGCAGGTAATATGTCACGTGATGATGCTACTGCATTGCTTAACAACCAATGCGACGGTGCATTTTTAATTCGAGAAAGCCCTAATCAACCCGGTTTAGCGATCAGTATACGTTATAAAAACGATACAAAACATATTAAAATTGGTAACGTTAACAATAAATATTTTTTAACTGAACCAAAGCAATTCTCAAGTGTTCTAGAGCTGATTAATTATTATAAAGCGAATTCTCTTGGGGTTAGCTTCCCAACTCTTCCAACAAAATTGACTAAAGCTGTAGCACAAAGTGAGTTTCAATTTTTTTTTTCAAAACACGCTAACTGGTTTTTATCGTTTAATTAGTCTTCCCATTTATTATATGTGAATCCATGCATTCTGTGCACTTATCCGCTTATTGTTAAAACATTCTAAAATAAAACTGATATTTTATGCAAACAAAGCCTTTTTTTTAGCGGATTTTGAAAAGTAGCACAAGACTTTTTTTTTAAATGTTTGATAGTTATTATATTTTTAGAAGTTAAGCGAGTTATGGTTGCGAAGTTTTCCTGGCAAGCTAGAACAGAGCAAGAACTTTCATTTCAAGTGTGTTTTTATTTTGTTTCTTTTCTTTAATATTCCTTTGCATTGAAAGCTTTTACCTCGGAAATTTGTTTTTAATAATATTTATGATAATATTTATAAAAGCCTGGTCAACGAATTAGTGTTATTACAGACGATGGTAATTGGTGGTACGGTGAAAGCCAGGGCAAGGTAAGCTTCAGATTGTCGTCGAAATTATTTAACAAAATATTTACGAGCATTTGTTTATATACTTTACTTTATATTTGATTTAGGAAGGTTATTTTCCTAACAACTATGTTGAATGAATAAGATTTTAGGCCTCTATTAATCGTTTCTAACCGTGATATCGTATGCCAAGTAATTGGTAGCTATTTTCTGATCGTGCGCAGATTTTCATTTTAAGAAAGATTAGATCTGACGTTAAAAGTCAATATGGTTGAAATTCATGAACAGTTAAAAGACTATTTATAGACCTTCAATAGACAATTTAATCGTTTTTCTGTGAACTTTTTAAATTTCGTTTTAAAAGTTACGTACTGTTATAGACTTGCGCGCATTAGTCTTTAATTTGCGATGTAATCTTCATTAGTTAACAAGTATCGGTATAATCTCGATGATTCAACAAGTAATGATCGGTGTAATCTCGATGAGTCAAGTTTTTGTTATACCGAATTTAAACATTTTATCTTGTTATACGGTAAATCGAGATTATACTTTACATTTGCTTAACATTTGATTGAGCCATGAAAAGCTAAATTTATTTACATCGACCCAAATACGTACTGCTACATATTTTTAGTGAATATTTATAGAAAATTTTAGTCACTTTCAAAGTAGTGAGAAAACATCTTTTAGTGAATTAGTAGAATTTCGTTTCTCTCCGACATATCCGAATTACATCACGCAATTATTGTCAAGTACTTTATTCTTTGACTGAAAGGTAGATTTATTGGATATTTGATTAAATACGGAATTTTTAGGCAACTTCTTATCTCCGTTATATTGAGAGTAGATTTTATATTTTTCTTTAAAATTATATCACTTTTTATGCATAGTAGGATATATTTTTGTATATATATAAATATATATGTGCCATTTATTATGTTTTTATTATAATCGGAGTCAATATTTAAAAGTTTATTTCAGAATTGTTTTTTTCTATATTTAGTTCCTTTGTAATAAAAGTCAATGATAGTAAAAGTCAAATGATTAATTATATATAAATTGTGTAACAATTTGAACAGTTAATAGAATGGTTATGTAATTATATTTTAAACCTAAAAACGTAATTTTAAATCAAAGATCAATAGACTTTTTCAAATTCAAATGTTTTGATATCAAATTACCAAGGTTAAGCCAGGAAAATCATACAACGAGACCATAATTGATTTAAGTCGTTAACAACAGCAGTCAAGTTGTTATAAGAACAGAATTCTGGCGACACAAAAAAGATTTTTTGAATATTGACTGATTAAAAAAAAATGATTATGAAATGATTAGGAAAATAATAGAAATAAAACATACGAACATTCTAACAATTAATTTTCTTCAAATTGAACAAACTCGAACCATCCTTTGTATTAAAAAAAAAAAAAAAAGAATGAAAGTGATCCTTCATCTTACTGATAGAATAAAGCAAGTTCTAGTTTTGCAAAAGGTTGCGCAGCAAGAGTTAAATTTTTCATCAATCATTTAGTTCTTAAACCCTCGTCAAGCTATATGCTTTTATTTAATAATATAGGGCAGATCAACAACTTGTTTCTACAAGCATGCATTACAGATAGAGCAATTAAAATTTGTCTTGAAAATGCATAGGTTATAAAGCTTTCTTTCCCTTCATCAAGATTATTTTTTTATGCATTTTGAATAATATTTGTATTACTTTTGATTTTAAATCATCAATAGTATATTATTTACTATCATCGTTCTCTTATTTTACTATCATCATTGTCTTCTAACATGTGTTATAATGAATATATTTTTTTGCAGTCATCAGCAGACATTTTAACAGAAATCTAGCATGTTTTTTTATAAAAAAAAAAACTCCCGAAAGACGTGTAAACTCCATTCTGAAATTTCATTCAGAAAAAAGTTGTCTTTGTAAAGTGACTTCAATTTTATCAATTCAATGATCCGCACATTCAAAAAATATTCTTGTTACCTAGAATAAATTTCATTCTGAAATTTTCTTCAGAAAAAGATTGTTATTTTAAAGTGTCTGCAATTTTATCAATTCAATTATCCGCACATTCAAAACAATTTCTTGTAACCCAGAATTAGAATGAATTAAAATTTCGTTCAGAAACTTTTAAAACGCTAATAAATTTTTTGAATTTTTTCAGTCAAAATTTTCACAAATAATCTCAATTGTCTCAATATCATATTAATATTTAAATTTTTCATTAAAATGTTTTCAGATTTTATAATTCTTTTAAATCAAACCCAAACGGTGTAATTCTTTACGTAAAATGCATTTTTATCTCAGTTGTTGTTATAAGAAAATTGATAGTTATACAATTTATAACTTTAAGGAAACAGAACCCACATTAATGTAACATTTAATTCTAATTTAATATTCAAATAAAAAATCTAACAAATAAAAAAGGAGGTGAACCATCAAATGTCAGTAATTATCGACCAATATCTATCCTCTCTGTTTTTTAAAAAATTTTAGAAAGAATTATGCTCAACCAAATATCTAATCATCTTGCTGTTAATAATATACTTTACATAAATCATTACGGTTTTAAAAGAAATAACTCTACTGAACATGCAATAATTCATCTCGTTGTATAACTGATTCATTCGAAAAATCAGAGTTTACCTTAGGCGTCTTTACAGACTTATCTAAGGCTTTTGACACAATTTACCATGAAATGCTGTTTAAAAAACTTGAACATTATGGTATCACCGGTAATGTTTAAAACTACTAAAAAGCTATTTAAAACATCGAAAACAATTTGTTTATGTCGACGGATCTTCTTCACAAGATTATCTAAATATAAATTGTGGAGTTACACAGGGATCTATACTAGGGCCTTTATTATTTCTAATTTATGTTAACGATCTCCATGAAGTCTCAAAATTAACAACTATAATGTTTGCCGATGATACAAACCTATTCCTATCTAATAATAACATCAATAAACTTTTTTATGACATGAACATTGAACAAAAAATATCTGAATGGTCTAAGTCAAATAAACTTTCACTCAACATTGATAAAACTAAATAGATTTTCTTTCATCCACGATTTAAAAAACATTTACTTCAAAGTAATATGCCTCTTCTTCATATTGATAATACTCAAATAAAAAGAGTAATTTTCACAAATTTTCTAGGTATCATTGTAGATGAAAATTTATCATGGAAGAATCACATCGGACATTTATGCAACAAAATTGCAAAAAGCATTGGAGTTTTATAAAAAGCAAGAAGCGTTTTAAACAAAAATTTATTAACACAACTATATTACTCTTTTATGCACTGTCATATTAATCATGCTAATATTGCATGGGGTAGTATCCGTAAAAGTAAATTAAAGCCACCTTATTGTCAGCAGAAGCATATTGCACGTCTTATAAATTTCAAAAATCGTTTTACTCACTCAAGGCCACTCTTATTTAACATGAATGTTTTTAATATATATTAAGTAAATGTTTATAATGTTCTTTGTTTTATGTTTAAATGTAAAACCAACTCATCTCCAGCTTCCTTTTTTGATTTATATTCTTTAAAAGAAAAAAATTAATATTCTTTAAGAAATGATATTTTTATTAAACAATCAAATTTCAAACAAACTTTGGTAAATTTTGCATTTCTTTTCGTGGAGCTTTTTTATGGAACCAAATAATTTTAAAAAGTTTTGATTTTTCTCATGAATGAGAAAAATCAAAAAATATTATATGTTCAAAAGAAAACTAAAAAAAGTAATTTTCTCAAGTCATAATATATTTATATACTTTTAATTATACCCAGTTTTGTCATCACTCATTTATATTTTACTTTTATACAATATTGATTTAAAGTTTATGTGAGAAACACCATTATTTGAATTTTGTTAAAAGCTGCACTGACATTATTTGTACAGTGGTCTATTATTTGTACAGTGGTCTATTATTTGTACAGTGGTCTATTATTTGTACATTTGTACAGTTTTTATTCGTAATATTTGTAAATAATTTGTCTTACGAACGGTATATAGTTTTAATATTGAATTTAATTTTGTAATAAAAAGAAAAAAAATATACATATATATATGTTATTATAAAAAAATAAAAAAAAATTGATGTATGTGAATGGATGTATCTGCAAATATTGTATTATGATACTTCTGGAAGTTAACCATTCTTTGACAGTAGTTTAGCACTTTTGTCGGTGGAAGCGTAAACGTAAACGCACCAACATTTGATAATTTTGGCTTCACACACAGAGACACCATTATTTGGCTTTCTAAATTCTTCTTCACAATCTTTTGGACAACCTTGAACTGCATTTGTATGTACCTAGTGCAGTCATATTCTTATTATTTTCGCTTATTTATTAATTAATTAACAATTAAGATTAGTGTAATTGTAAGATACAATTGAGTAACAAGATTCAGTGATCGTATAGATGCAAGTATTATGCGAGACGTGTTCGTTTAACAAGAATATGATGATACTATTGTTTTCGCTTGAGTCATGCGATTCAGAAGAATTAGTATTTTAATTCAAACCATAAAGGTCATAACTAAAGAAAAGTTTAAAATTTGTATTTATTTATTTTTGTTTTTTCTAAAATCTAAGTTAAGTTTAAAGTTCTTCAACAGCGGTTTTCGGTGACAAGACCTGTAAGGTCTTCTTTGAGTATCCGCGTTCTTTATCTTTATTCTTTATTTTTTAACGGCTTCTTTGCATGTAATTTTTCTTATTGATATACTTGTAAATATTGTATTAAATATTGTAATAAAGAACAAAATAATATCTACGAAAAACATTTTTAAAAACTTTCAAAAACGAAAAGAAATACTAAAATTATAAACCTTTTTTAAAAACTTTAGAAACAAACTAAAAAAATTATCTTACGAATATTTTACAAAAAAACATTAACAATAATAAAAAGAAATGATATCTTATGAAAACAGAAATAAAAAGATTGGTTCAAGTAATATTTTGCGGAACTTGCCAAATGACAAAAAAGGCAACTTTAACGTTTTATTTATCTAACACTAAAGCATACAACTTTTGAAAAAGTTTGTAATAAGAATTTTTTTTTTTTTGCCTCGCTTTTACAAATTTATAACACACAAAATTATCACTTGAATTTAAAAAAAAAGCTAGTTAGATTTTCTTTCATCCACCTTTAAAAAAAAAATTAATTCCAAATAAAATGCCATCCTTTTTTATTGATAATGTCGAGATAAACAAAGTAAAAGTTAAATGTTACAAATTTTTTAGGTCTTTATATTGATAATAAACTTGTTGGAAAAATCACATTTGAAAATTTATGTAGCAAAACTTCAAAAAGTTTTACATAAAGTAAGAAGCTTTT